ATTCCCATTTCCCACTGCCTGGCAGGGCAGAGGCTTCTCATCCCTTTGGGATGTGCTGTTCCATGCCCTGATCGTGCAGCCACAGCCCTCTGTTCTGGAATCCCTTGGGCCTGGTGCAGCTCAGGACAGTGCCTGTGCCAGCCCCTTCATCCACGGGCACAGGACTCTCCCTCCCCACTTGGTACAGAGAGAAAATCCATTGGAGACAGCTCTGGGGCTGGATGCCAAAGGAGGACAATTATCCCAAAATGCAAGAAATTTCTAGAAATATCATGGACAGTTTGTTTTTCTCTGCTTGAATACTTTGGGGAGGACTGAAATGCTTGCAGAAGGTGCCAAAACTGACGAGGTTTCCCCAAAAGCCACGGGGCCCTTTAGAAACAGCACAGGCTCCTGCCTCATGCCCCTTGGCACATGGAAAAGGCTTTGTTAAATGAGGAGGAATTACCTCCTCATAGTGGAAAGACATTGAAATGGAGCTGAGCCACTCGCTGAAGACTTTAAGCTTTCAATGGCTTTGCCAATGACACATGAAACCTTCCCAGTGCTGATCCTGTGGGATCTTCTCACCAGGAGGGGGATTTGGGCTGTTCTGTGCCAGTGGCAGCCCTGGCTCAGCAGCAACGTCAGTTCGAATATCACAAAGTCCAGGCTGGTTTCCAGCCTAAGGCAAAACATTCTACATTAAAAAAAAAAAAAACAAAAAAAAACACACCAAAAAAAACCTCTTCCAAATAATCCAAAATTTCCAGTCTAGGCAGGGACCCTGCCAGAGTTTTTGGACATTTTCAGGGTATTTGCAGACCTTTACATCTATGTCTGAAACACATCTCAGTATCCACTTTGGGCTGGGCCACCCCTACCCCCAAAGGCACCCAGTGGCTCCTTGTCAGGAAGAGTGGGGGACAGATGGGTGCTGGGATGTGTTGGTTGTTCCCCCTGCAGCTCCAGCAATGTATGGGCCCTGGTTTCCAGAGAATCACAGAATCACTGGGTTGGAAGAGACCTTCAAGATCATCAACTCCAACCCATTCCCTAACATCTCAACTAGACCATGGTACCGAGTGCCACATTCAGTCTTTTTTTAAACACATCCAGGCATGGTGACTCCACCACCCCCCTGGGCAGACCATTCCAGTACTTTATTATCCTTTCCATGAAAAACTTTTTCCTAACATCCACCCTAAACTTGGTAGAGTTTGAGACTGTGTCCTCTGGGTCTGTCAGTGCTGCCTGGAGAAAGAGACCAACCTGACCAACTACAACCACCCTTCAGGGAGCTGTAGAGAGTGATAAGGTCACCCCTGAGTCTCCTTTTCTCCAGGCTGAACAATCCCAGCTCCCTCAGCCGTTCCTCATAGGGTTTGTGTTCCAAGCCCCTCCCCAGCCTTGTTGCCTCTTCTGGACACACTCAAGCGTCTCAATGTCCTTTCTAAACTGAGGGGACAGAACTGGACACAGCACTGGAGGTGCAGGCTCACCAGTGCCAAGTAGGAGGGAAGGGTTTGTTTCTTCCTGGTCAGTCTCTGCCCCTCCATGGGCTCCCACAACCTCAGCTCTACTGCTGGGGAATGTCACAGCCACAGTCCTCAACCCCCTGAGACACCCAGTCCAAGACACCTCAGCAGGACCCTGTTGTTGGGGAATTAATGTGTAATCCCTGCAATCCCTACCCTGAACCCCCCAGCACCCCGACATCTGTGGTACAAGGACAGTTATTTCTTTCTAAGCCCAAATGCAGAAGGATTCATTGGAGATGGCCAAGCTCCCCACAGCAATGGTGGGGACATCCCAGCCTCTGCTCCTCTGCAGCATGGACACAGACATAGCAGAGCTCTGGGCAGGTGTTGGGTCCCAAACCAAAATCCAGTGATTTAGGAATTGCAGTTAAGGGTGGTCAACAATGAAATTGTTTTAGGAGCATCTGGAAGAAGATGCACAGTTGACCTAAAGCCAAAAAGCAGAATGCTACTTGCTACAGCTGTGATTTTTTTTTTTTTTTTTTTTTTTTTAATCTAAAGAGGAACCTCCCGCTGGCTTAGGGATGATCTCAGGAGAAGCAGGGCAGTGCCAGGCTCTCCACAGGATACTTGGTGATGGAGGATATCCCACACACAGTCCCACCTGACAAAAGCATTGGCACCATCAGGCTGCACCTCCCTGTCTCAGCACTGTGACCCCACTGCCCTCCCTGGCACTCAAGGTGTCCAGCCAGCCCCAAACTGATCCCAAAGCCAGACCTGGGATGTCATTAGGTGGAAAAACTCCTGTCCCCTGTACCCACTGTACCCTTGTGGTGCTGCAGGGAGGGTGTCAGTCCCTGTGGGTGCTGGCAGAGCCCCTGCCTAGGGTGGGGAGACAGGGCAGCCCCCAGAGCACCCTCAGAGAAGTGTGGTGAGGGCTGCTGGAGCAGGGGCACTGAGGGCTGGGAGCAGCAGAGCCAGACTTCCAGGCTCCTCTCTGGAGCTCTCTCTGGGGGCAGAGGGGACTGGCAGCCCCTCCTCACCCCTGGAGCCTGTGTGTTGGAGGGGCTGAAGGGCCGCAGACCCACCCCACATCCTCTGTTGTGCCTCTGTTTCCCCCTGCCCCCTCCGGGGGCATTAGAAATGCTTCCCGTGGCTCCTCTCCTGCTTTCCAGGCTGCCTGGAAGTGTTCTGGCACCACGTCCCGGGTGCTGGGGGATGCTCCAGCCTCTGGCTCTGGCCCAGGCCCAACTCCACTCCCTGGCCGGGTCTCTGGGCTGTTTATTTGTTATTCAGTCTCGGGGTGACTTTTCCTCTGCAGAGACATTCAGCCCTCCCAGGGGCAGATGAAGCCACCACACTTTCCACTGCCAGGCTGCTGGCTGGGCCCTGACCTCCAGCCTCTGCTCCAGGTTCAGGCTGGGAATCCACTGAGGGTGGTGGGTCAGGCTGGTGTGGGTGTTTGCTCAGAAGAAAATCTCAAACTTGGAGGCTTGGGGAGCTCTAAAGTCCCTGGACAATATGGGGACCAGGAAGGGACCCTGGATGTGTGTTGGTCTGGATGAAGGGCTCAGGATGAGGATGGAAAAGCTTGACTTTCTCCATGCCTGGACCTGAGACACTGACACAGGGATCTGTGTTCTCTTATTTTCCTCTCCCTCCATTGACTGCCTGAATTTCTCCCTAGATCTTGGGTACCATGGCCTCTCTGCTGCCTCATCATCAGTGCCCAGGGCCATGGCCAGGGCTGGTGCTTACACACCCTCCTTGATCATTTTCTCTGCCAGTTCCTTGCTGGCAGTTGGAAAACAGAAAATATCTATTTACAGGGAGATAGTAGAAAAATTGAAACAAAGGAGTCACACTGGATAAAACTGGTAACTTTAGGAACTCCCTTGCACTGGCACAGGCTTGGGATGTTCACATGGCTTTGACTGAGCCACACAGAATCCCCTGGCTCCAAGAGCTGGGGATTTAGGGGAAACACCAGGACAATAATCCTTGCTCTGGAAATGCCGTGTAAGCACCAGCACCTTCCTGGCCACCCCATTCCCTCCAGACATGTGTGCAGGGACCTGGTCTGGGGCTTGTCCACAAAGGGCACCACACCTGAAGCATGTCCTGTGGAAGGTCCCACCATCCCTGGAACCTTCCTTGTCCCTGTCATGACACTGGGATGGTGCAGAGCTCTGTCTGTGCAGGGTTTGGGTCCGGCTTCATCTGCGCCCCCCAGCCCGGTCCCCCTCTCTCCTCTCCACTCCCAGCCAGGGAGGCAGGGGGGTCTCAGTAAATGCAGCTCTGAGAACCAGCTGGCCAAGGAGGCTTTGCTGGGTGGAACCCCCCTCCACCTCCCAGAGCCTGTTTTGCAGAGCCAGCACGACCTGGCCTTGCATGGTGAGCAGGCTCCGGCCATGCCAACGTCCCCAAAGCCATCCAGTGCTGATCTGACACGGGAACGGGACCCGGGCTGGAGTGCAGGCTGGGGTGCAGGCTGGGGTGTGCAGGCTGGGGTGCAGGCTGGGGTGCAGGCTGGGG